ATTAGTGAAATAACATTAGCTTATCTGGACAAAAAAATATCAAAAAAATGATAGAATACTACAATTTTTTCTAATAAATTCATTTTTTAAATGTTTTAAAATATGATTCAGATTTATTATAAAGCTGAATAATCAGTGTCAACTCAAGAAATTATGAAATATCTATTTAAAGTATATGTGTAAGAAGTATTCTGCATGAAGAGAATTATTAGATTTAAAACTTTTATAGAAATTATGAATAGTAAATTATATTATGAAATACTGACTGAAAATTTATTTGAGTAAGTAAATTGAATTCTTGATAACAAGTAAATATTTTAACAAGATAATAATCCTAAGTATTATACTAAGCTTATGATTATTTTATTAAATGATCAGTATCTCTGTATACTTGATTGATTATCATACTTATCAAATCTCAATCTGATTGAGAATTTGTGATCAATTATAAAAAAGGATCAACTTGATGATTTATAAAAAAAATTCATATCACAAGAGATTTTTATTAGAATAATAGAGAAGAAGTGAGAAAAAATCAATGTGAGGTTATGTCAAAAATTAGTATAATTAATATTAAAATATCTTGAGCTAGTTATAGATAATAAAGGGTGTGAAACAAAATATTAGAAATCAAAGTATGTACTATAGGCTAATTATAATTAATTTTTAAGATTTTTTAAATAAAAATTGCACAAATTAAATCATATTATTTGTTTATTATTTTTTTCTATCACTATTATATTAATAGAAATTAACTTATATAATACAAAGCAAAATTGGATCTTTTTAGTAATATATTAATATAGGAATATATTGATAATATTGATCTAATTACTTAGTAAATTATGAATTTTGTATAAGTAATATCTGAATTAATACAATTAGCATAATATATCTTAATAATTATAATATTATCTGCAATTTCTGAATATACTTGGTCAGCTTTTGTAAATATTTATAATAAAAAAAGAAATTGATTAAGTAGTAAGTATGTTTTTAAATTAATTTATATTTATAATAATTATAAATTATAAATATCTCTAGATAATCAAAAAAAAAATTATCAAAAAAAGTATTAATAATAAAATAAGTATTAATTAATATTATATTGGAAATGAAAGTAATAAAACAAATATCAGAATAATAATAAAAGTGAATATCAGGATAATAATAATAATGAATAATTTAATATATTAGATAATAATAATAATATATTAGAAATATCAAGTAATAGTAATAATTATTAATCAATATATATAATAGTTATAGAAAATAAAAATTATTATTAATTTTTATAAATTTGTATCACATATTTAATTAATTACTATATATATATATATAAATTATTATATATATTATATATATATACTATATATATATATATATTATACATATAATATATATAATATGTATAGTAATAAACTATGCATACATTTACTCATCTCTAAGTATGATAAATAATTTTATTTAAAACTACTTGAATACTTATTGAAATATTTTATAATTTATATTTTTAAAATTAAAAACTTATAATAATAAGAAAACTTAAATTATTATAAATAAATTTAATTATTATTTTACAAATTAATCTTAAGTAAACTTATTTACTAGATTATCAAGTAATTATATTTAGATTAATAGTAATAATTAGGTAATAGATATAATTAAATAAATTTAATATTTTGATTAATAAGAATTAAGTATTTGAATAAAATTTGAAATAAGTAACTCTTTTCAAAATTCAGTTTAAAATAGATACTATAAGAGATTGCTTATTTTTGAAACTTTATAATATTTTAATTTTATTTAATTTTTTTATTATTTTAATAGATTAAATAATAATAAAAAATGATTAAAGAATAAATAATATGATTTATTATACTAAAAATATGAATAATTTTATTAAGAAATACTAGAAAAATAGAAGAAAAATATTATTATGATATATTATTAATAATATATATTGAAAAATATGAAAAAATTATCATAATTTATACTATTAATAATATATATTAGAAAATATAGAAAAATAAAGATATAATATAATCTTGTATATTCAAGAATGTTATGATTAAGAAATATAAATATAACTATAAATATGATACTGGATAATACTAAAAATAAAAGAATTAGAAAATATATAATATTATAAAATATTTATTAATTTAATAATTTCTTTTATAATTTTAGAATTATTAAATTTAATAAAATTATTATAATATTTATCTTTTCAATAAAATTATGCATTATTGAAATTATTATAATTACTGACTAAATTTCTTTATTTTTTCTAGTTAAATGTAAGCTAAAAATGAAGTAATTTATTTTAAAATAATATATATCTAAATTTCAAAAATATAATACATTTTATTAAAAACAGATCAGAATAACAAAATAAATAGGGAAATCAAATTAATTGCTTGTTGTATTTAAGTTATGCCATTAAGAAAAAAATATATGAAAATCAGAAAATATTTTCAGTAAAAATTATCAATATTGAAAATCTTGCAAAAGAGGATTTTGTAAACAATCTGGTTGAATGAACAAAAAACTAATTACGTTCAGAGAAAAGTATATCTTTAGATTTTATTGACTTAATACTACTTATATTTAATATCGTCTCGTGGCTGCAACATTTTTGAGTGTGCTTGTTTAGCGGTAATAGTTAACACTCTTGTTTTTTAATAGTGTGTCGATTTTATTAGCTAATATCGATTTCTCTTTTCTACTACTTCAAAACCATCTTTTTCCTGAATTTATTCGGTTCAGACTTTATAACACTAACACTAACCCTCAGCATGAACTACGCTCTGTCAAGTTCGAATAAAAATTACTTGAAAATACTGAATTATACATGTATTTATCAAGTATACTATCTCGATTCTATTTACATATATACATATACAAATGATATTATTGGCGAAGAATAAACGTTCCGTTACAGTATTTTATAAACTCACAAAGCGATGAAAGTCGATTACGAAACTAAAATTATCGATGTTATACATAACGAGCTTGAAATTTTTAATTTATTTCGTTATAAAAGCATAATGGACTCTATAGATAATATAACTTTCTTCTTATGTTCTAGTGGATATCGAAGTAAACAATTATAACACAAACACATATGGTAAATATCGAATTTGCTAGTTTTATAAATCATGTTAGCGAATTTATTTCATAATACATTAAGGTTAGGTTATTCAACTATAAATTGTCATAGAAGCTGACATTTTCTTTAAATAATAAATGAATAAAAATGAGGAAAAAAATTTATTTCGACACCACTTGAAGTACTTCATAATCCGCAACATTAAAATTCTTTTGTTCATTAGAGCTCAACAAACCATGTTCATAGGAAGATTTTTTACAATAATTAAGATTAGAAGTACTAAAATCGGTACCATTGAGGATTAAATCAATACCTATTCCAAAAATCGGACCATGAGCCTTATAGCACCTCACACTATACCCGTTGTCATGTTTGCTTAGAACTCCATTGATAGCTTGAATGTCTCCAGAATCAAATTTATATAAAAAGCTACTTGAAACGTTATAATCTTTGTCAAGTAAATTCCACTCAAACGGATTATAACCACCAATAATCTTTTCCGCATCTTTTACGCGAATGACAACAATTGTTGGACCCTTATTAACACACAGACGATGAAAGTCAGTCTTATTAAATCCATCACGACTACCTCGCAGTAATAATTTCAATTCGATTGATTTATTTTTCTGATTGTCATCTTGTTCTTTAATCCAGTTGATTATTTTAGAGATCTGGTTATGCGACAGAATTGAAGATTCGATATTTGTGAGTTTGCGTACTGGATGTAAGGTAACCTTTTGTTCTTCGCTTCCTGGTACCAAATAATGATGCAATAAATCCTTATATAATGATCCTGGCAAAATTTCTGCATATGGCATGACTTTATTATAAAAATCAACCGAATTGATGTGAAAGAAACGAATCAATGGTAAACAATTTTCGAGAGTAGATTTGAGTTGTTTAAATTCGTTATGTGTCCAATTTTCCAGTGGAATCGTCAAATCACTTTTGCCTGTATCTACAGATTGAGAGATCCCCCATTCAAGCAACTTTTCCCAAAGTTCGATTTCATTCAGATTTAGATCATCACGTTTAAGTAAAGAAATCAGAGCTGATTCGCGTAGCTTGGTAAAATCGCTTGATTGAAAAATAGCCGCTGGATTTTGGCATGCGATATCCGTGCAAAATTTTTGGAGCTTGATAAAAGTGTTATGCTCGAATGCGATTTGATTAACGATGGCAAAACTCTCTACCAAAGATTCAGAATAGTGTTCGAGAAGATGAATTTGAATATATTCAATTAGATCCTCAAGAATCATCTCATCAGCCGCAATCAATAAATCCAAAAGTGACGAAACACCGTGATCTTGTAAATCAATTTTTCCAGTGTATATATATCTATTAAAATTTAAATCAGTCAGTCAGCCAGCTAAATTTTCTTTTTTCATTTATTTATTAGTATTGTATCATTTTAGCATGAAGAAATTACCTTAGCAATAATTCAAAAACTCGAGGTTCAATGTTCGGTTTCTTGAAAATAATCATCTTATTTTGTTCTCGTTTCACCCAAGCGTCAGCGAGTGCTACTGCAAAATAATGCGACTGTGCCATCAAGATTGCCGAATGAGCTGAAAAAGTACGTAGAGTACTTTGATTCTCACCAACAATAATCGAAATATCGCAATAATTGGAATTTTTATAAAATTCATCAAGCCTGTTTGAGTGTGAAGTCAATAGCAAGTCTGGTGTCATTTTTATTTTTTAATGATAAGATAATTCTTTTCTCGGTGAAGTGAAGAAAGCGAGTTTATTGTACTAACTTATGTTGATCAGACAGGTTTTATGACGTCGAAAATCAAATGTGCTACAGACTGTTGTTACATGTACATGCAATTAGTATATATGACAACTGTAAAAAGCTCTGATATTTCATCAATGCTAGGCTCATTTAAGTTGCAATCACTGAATATTCGAACATTTGCAAGTCTAAGCTAATCAAATAATCGGCTGGAATTCCTGAACGATTCGATTTTTGAGCCACCGTATAGGATAATAATGTTTTGACTATTAACAGTTATTATCTATAAGTGACACAGGTAATAAGCAATATTTTCTTACCTACAACGGCCGAGTGAAAAAAGCGATTATTTATATATGAATTAGTTGTTGTAATTCTAGAAATCAAATATGGATTATTATATAAAATAATAAAATTTCTCTGTCTGGCTACAAAACTCGCTTATTTTATATTCCATTGATTATTTATATCGAGTGTTCATATATCAAATCTTTAAAAGGAATTTTTAAATACTGTATTATATTTAACAAAAATATAATGAATAAAACATGTAATATTTCGTGAATATCTACACATATAGCTCCAGGGTTGTTTGAATAAATACCACCAATAAAGTAAATTTTGCCATCCTTGAAAGCTGCTGAATAATCCGATCTTTGTACGTGAACGCTAATAGAAAGAATTCGATTCCATGTTGTGTTAAAAGTGTCCATCGGAATATTGAATGAATTATCGATTTTGGTGAAATTTGGTGTTGATGTGGTCTAATTTACAGGAATATCTAAGGAAAAAGTATTTGTATTGTTTATGTCAAAGTTGTAGCTACATATCAAAGAATATGATTTTGTTGTCGATAAAAGTTCCAGTTTCTGAAAATAATAACCCATTAGCCGAATAGGGTGACTGCACATTTATTACTGAAACAAAGAAATAAAAGCAAAACAAACTAAGAACACATTTTTATAGTGAATTTTTATAGTGATAGTTTATTGGTTTCTTTATAAGTTAAAATACAAAAGAAAATACCTTATACAGACATGTACATATACATATCATGTATACGATACGAAAAGAATTCTTTCATTAGTTCACAGTAGCTTACAAAAGAGAAAGCCTACCAAAAGAAACAAATAACTAAAAAATTTGAATATCTATTAATGATAATAGTTTCTCTTTAAGCAAAAACGTGGCAGATGTTACATCCTTTACTCTTTGAAATTTTTCCAAAAATGTTCCTATTTGAAGTAAGTCAAGAAGCTTCCTCAAGCGACGATCGACTTCATAAGCTCTCGATTGAATTTAGGTCGAATGACTGAGCAGACCAATCGAGTAAGCCAATATGTTTCAGAGCATTATCTTGCTGAAAAAAGATTTCTTTTCAGAGAGCATGCCTAAAAATTTTGTTAATTATATCAACTTAGACGCCTGCAGTCATTTTTCGCCAATTTTTCGGAGCTGACCAACTCCATCTTTATTCACACATTATTGAATGACCCAAACAACTGAAATTTACGTTCATCATCGGACCATAATACTAGCCTCAATTATCAGCTATATTTTTTCTCCAAGAAAGCCGGAATTTTTAGTGCATCTTTTGTAGTGGTTTCTTGCGCTTAGTTTTAGAGCATAAACTATTTTCTAAAACATATGCGATATTCAACCGAAATATCGACTAGAGGTTAGAGTTTGCTGCTTTTTCCTAACGTTGTAACTCATGTCAATTAATAAGGGACAACTGCATCCTTGACTTCAATATTAACATAATATCACAAAAGTTCTCAACAGATTACAAGTATTTATGAAAAGTATACCGCTAGTTAATTGAATATGATTATGATAATTTTAGCTTGTGACGGCACGAAGTGTTACAACACATTATGAGTTATAATCCGACTTGGGATTGAATAATATATTTGACTAGTATTTAAATTTAGTTTTGATGACTAATTTCTTATTATTTAATTTGATTTCATTATTTAGTAAAACTATAAATATTGACTTATATTTGACCGAGGGGAAACCAAGTTGTTTGGTCAGTTGAAATAATATTTTGCTTATTATAAGATTTTATTTATTTAGTAAAAATGCGGAGATATATATGTTCAATTTTGCTCGAGGTTGAAACCTACCTGTTAATAATAATAACTAAACTTACATGTGCTTCAACTCGGTCTATATTTCTTGTACTGATGACTTTATCATTTCTACCATATGCCAAATATTTCTAACCCAAGTAAAGAGTAAAATTACTAAACTACGTTGCATTTTATTATGTCATTATGTATTAATTTCTTGATATTCTTTCGAAGTCATGTTTTTTTAATACTAATGATAATTTTAGCAATAAATAAGAAAATTGATTATTGATCCAACAAAAAATTTTCTTGAATCTTATACATGTGACGTGAAATAAAATTGACGCATGTGTTACGCAGATTCTATAACTCTTTGATTTCATGCGGTATATTAAGATCGAAATCTGTTCCAAAGAATAAAATAATGTATTAAAGAAATTAATAAAAATATTAGCGAATTACCTTCATTCTGGAACGAATGTATGATTTATCAAGAACTGTGGCACAGAAACACAAAATATTCGGCAGTTTTACTCATTTCTTGAACATTAAACATAAGCATTTGGAATTTCAAATTTCGAAAGAAGACATTTTATATATTGGTTTTAATAATGTCACGATTTGTTATTTATTATTAAATTCGCGCATTGTATAAAATGGATTCAAAAAAATATTCGCAAGCACATTTTTTTTCACAAATAATAAGCGCACTTTTTAAATAATAAACCAACGCAACTTGTGTAAGAAATTTGTATAAGCATATTTTTAATATGAGCACATTGTAAATATTTTACACAAAATATAATTTATTAATAAAATGTTGAAAATCTCAGCATGTATCAAATCTATCGTTGATTGCAGGTGGAAAATGAATGCATTGAATTTTCAATATTAAATACCGAATATGATATAGGTATCGATGAAAAATGGTGATAGAAACAGACTTCGATATTAGTATATACACGAAATCAATCAGAACCGAGTTTCTTGAAAGAAAAACTAAAGATTAGATTTTCACGTTAGCTGATTTTTCGAGAAACCAAAAGTGGAGCGGCTCATAAAAGAAATGCAATATGAAAAAAGAATGGCGAGATACGAATATCTTGCCATAGAGAGAACCTGGAAGACTAAAAGGTGAATTGTAATGATTTATCAATATCGATGATATCGAAATTTAAACGCATCTATCTTTAATTAACGATGCATTAATTTTTTATCCTTTTTTTAGTGTTGCTCTTATTATGACCGAATGGGGAGGTGGATGGAAGGGATATAAGAAGATAAGTACAAATGCTTTTAATTGTCTTTTATTAAAAAAAAATTATTTCACATTTTAACAGATGAACTAATACATTTTCTTAAGTATCACTAGAGAAATGCGCCCGCATATACATGCTCCGGAAAGAAGGCTATTTGATGCGGGAAATCGCAGCACCAGAACAAGTGGATCTGGCCTCCATCTACCGGATATGCAAAAAGAAGGAAGAGACTGGGAGTTTCGACGACAAACCAAAAACCGGTCATCCACCTATACTGATTTTAATATTTTGGCTAATACTACATATTTTCAAATAATCAAAATGTTATAAAACAGCTCTGATTATTTCATTAATATTATCATTTGAATAGCTTTAAATTATCTTTATATTTAGAAAATTATTAATTGATAAAGAATAGTAATTTTGAATTATTTATAATAATTTTATATATACCTCTTGTGAAATATACAATAGACTCAGTAGCTTCATAAATTATAATCCAATGTGTAGGAACATATGTTTTAAGCCATTATTAGTAATATTTTTACTTTTCATTATTTGAAATAATAACTAGTAAGTTAAACGAGATTTTTGAAGTAAGTTATTATAATATTTGCTTGTTTGACAAGACACTCAATGAATTGATGCTTAATAATACCTTTCAATATTAAATTTAAACAATGACTGATATAATGTAAATTAATAATTACTTATGATCAGTTCAGTTTTATAAATGAACTAGCAAGATTATATTTGTGTCAGAATCTGATACAATTGCAGCAATTCAATGTGGATCAATTTTTTCATTACACTTTTGATTTTCCAATATCCTATCTGACTTTCTGATGACATGTCATCAATCTGTGACATATAAAACAGCCAGAGCATTTTTACTTCAATCATAAGCAATGTGTGAACTAAATATTTGTTGCAGTATCTATTCTCTTGTCATTCGTCATATTCATTACAATTATGAGTATTCGATTCTATTTTTGAGTTCACTGTATAAAATACAAATTACTTGAAATGATAATAAACAATGATATCAATATAAATATTATGTTTATAACTACATTAACAATCACTTGACCAACCGATTGATGAGGATCTAACTGATAGGGTTAATAATTCAAATAGAATGAACTTATTCTGTATAAATTATCAATATACTGTAAATAGCCAATTATAAGATTTTAAAATGCTTATTAATAAAACCATACAAATGATGAAAAATATTTCGCATTAATTAATGAGCTTATGATTCAGACTTAAAAGCTAGTGAAGAAACATAGCTATCTCTAATGTTATAATCACTTGTTAAATTATTTTGATTATTATTTTCTGTTAAGCTGTTATGTGTTGCAGTATTATTATCAATATTTGGTTGTTTTTGTTTTCTTTTATAATTGTAAAATAAAAAGGCAATGAAACCTACAAGTATAATCACTAAAATCGGTCCAACTGTGGAAAAAATAATAATCTTTTTGTTATCATTATTAATAAAAGTTGGAGTTGGTGCGGGTGTCGTTGTTGAATTTGAGACTTGAGTTTCAAAGTTATCAACCCATGTATAATCTTTCAAGTCCAACACTCTGATAACTTTTCTATTAGGATTTTTAGTAAAAAAAACTCCTTAAATTTCAGAGAAAAAATCAATACATGTTTTAACTTTTAACAATACTGAATGACATGCAGTACTTTCTTACCGAAACATGCAATCATATAATTATTATATATGACAATTGTAGTACGAAACGATACATCGTCAATGCTAGACTCATTTTTAGTCACAATCATTGAAAATTTGAACGTTTGCAAGTCTAAGCTAATCAAATAATCAGGTGGAATACCTGAAGCATTTGACGTTAAGCCACCATATAGGATAATGCTTTGATTATTGGGTGCTATAACAGATTATTCATAAATAATTGAAATAATAATTAAAATATTTATTATTATTAAAATAGTTTCTTACCTAGAACGGCCGAGTGAACATAACGACCACTTATATACGAAATACTTGTATCACTTGTTGCTTTCTAGAAATTAATAATAGATTATCATGAAAAATATTTATAAATCATATCTGTTCACGGGCTCGCTTACTTTTATAGTCCATGGATTATTTATATCAAGTGTATCATATACCAAAATCTTAAAAAGAAATATTTTAAATATTGTACTGTATTTAACAAAAAGGAAATAATATAATACATGTAATACTTCGTAAATATCAACACATATACAGCCAGGGATGTTTGAAAAACAGCCACCAATAAAATAAATTTTGCCATCCTTAAAAGTTGCTGAATAACTCGATCTTTGGTCAGGAGCATCAGAAGGAAGAACTTGACTCCATGTTGAGTTAAAAGTGTCAAATATATACATGGTTTGATCATTTATATAAGATCCATTTTTTGCAACAGTTTTCCCACCCCAGATATAAAGTTTTCCTTTGTCATCAAAAATTGAATTATGATTGGAGCGTGGACCCGGTGAAATACTCCCAGCTCTAACAGGTGAGATTGAAAACGGATAAGATGTTACATCAATCTTATAAAAATCACTTACGAAAGTTCCTGTATTCCAGCTATTAAAATTGATTGGCTATTCAAATAGTTAGAATTAATAGATAATTAGATAGTTAGTAACCAAATATTCATTGTGTAATTATACCTACAATTAGCCCACCATAAGCATATATTAACGAAAGTCCACTTTTGTTAAGTGCACTAAAAGTAGTATAATCAAACATTGGTACATTGAATAGATCATTAATTTTAATGAAAGCTGGTGTTGATGTGGTCCAGTTTACAGAAAGGTCTAAGAAAAAAGCTTTTGTATTATTAATGCCAAAGTCATAACTATCAAAGAATATAATTTTGTTGTCGATAAATGTTCCAATTTCTGGCCGTGATAACTCGTTAGGCGGATAGGGTGACTGCGCATTTATTAATGAAATAAAGAAAATAAAATATGAACAAAATAAGAACAAATTTTTATAGTGATAGGTTATTAGTTTCATTATGAATTTTTTAAATAAAAATGTTAACTTAAACGTCGTCTGGTACATTTAATTTGAAACTTTTATGATTATATACTGTATAACAATCCAACTAAGAATTCTCTAAATTCGTAATCCATGTACAGCACAGTTACCGTCATCATTAAGGCAGTAGCTCACAAAGAAATAGATCACCAAAAAGTACAAGATCCGAATTACAAATAAATACATGCATTAATTTTTGTGATCCGTCAAAATAACCTAAATGTGAGGTAATACAATGATAGGTTTCTTTTTAAGGAAAATGTGGCAGATGTTAAAACTTCATACATGTACACCATACGCCAAATATTCCAAGTACCATTAAAAATGAATAAAATTATTAATATTTATTTAACACATTTCATTTCAATATAGATATTAATTTCTTGATAATCGTCATATTTTTATATAATATTACTGATAATTTTACCAACAAATATACAACTAACTTTTTATATAAGACAGTCAGCAAAAACTTTCTTATATTTATCGTTGTATTGAGAGTCACTTGTATTGACAAATATTTACGCGTGTAAATTCGAGATGCGAAATAAAATTAACGCCAAATTTACATGCGCATACACATGCACATGTACATGTATGGCAATTTTTACATGCATAACGTGACTGCAATATTCTTTGTGTTTTTTCCTTTTTTTGTCTTAATTAAGACAAATTTGGAAAGATACGTTACTTGTGGAACTAATTTTTGAATAATGAATAGCTGTAGCGGTAGCAAATAAAAATACAATTAAAATTTTCTCCTTATTCTCTTTTTTGAAAGTTTATACATGTACATGTAGATTTATTCCATAATGTCAAAAAAAATGTTTGACATAAAGATGAAATTATTATTTAAAATTGAATTTTATGCAAGATAATTAAACTTATAAGTAGGGCGGAAGTAATTTTAAATATTTAGATGTACAGCCCCGGGGAGTTATCGGTTATTGCAAAAATTTCTAATTGTAAGATTAGTACATGTACATGTATATCGATAAACCAGACCAGTTTTGACCAGTTTTTATTGTGAACAAACAAACCGTGATATGATTACATAATGTATAAAAACGATTATGCCGTTATTGAACACGATATTGGGATTTTCGTCATTCGGCATGCCGTTCATTCGTTTGAATTGTCGGGATTGTGTTTGTTGAGATATTGAACGTCGCCGGTTTGTATATGCTTTTGTGGGAAGTTTTATACGAACGCGAACAAAATTCATATCGTTATGAACGCATAATCGCTTCAGAAGTTAACGTTACTATTAATAAAATTCGTCGTTTATAGATGGCAATAACATAGGTATCGTTTTTTATTTTGATGTGGGAATAAATATTCATTGTAACTGAAATTTTATCGCTCTTCATATATCGGATAGTTAAGAGAAGTTAGTTTTTGTTAAAGTTGTGAACGAAATCTCAGCATTTGGCTAATGAGTATAAATCCGTTGTAATCAACAAGTTAAATAGAATAAACTTATGTTTTGCATTTCTATGATAAGAAGGAGAATTTAGTTAGTATGTAACTATAAGTAATATAGTACAGTGGCGACCAAAAGTAATGACTCAGGGGCTAAATTTACTAATAAAATATAGTGAAAATTGAAATTTTCTCTCTATATTAAAATTTATAATTTTAATAAGAAAT